GAACTGCATGTCGGAAGTAATCTGAAATACAAGCAAACAAGTTGCGCTTGGTTCTCTCTTTCGGATCTTGACGCACATCCTGCTGGTGCTCTGGCTTCTTCTGGGGGCTCTTTAGCCCCAAAGTGGAGCGGAGCGCCACTTCCTGATGGATGTGTTTGTCAATGGCCAACAAATCTTGGACCAAATCAATCAAAGAAAAACCCTTGTATAACATGAATATAACATGGTATAACATCTCTGTGTCTTCGTGCTACCAGTTTGGTGGGTGCACAACTCTTGTGGCTCTTGTTCTTGCGCAGTAGTTCTTTAGAAGAGCTTCCAAATAGCTGGTGGTGTTGCTAATCCAGTCTCCCATGATGATGTTGGCCAGGACAGGAGCATCCTGCAACAGGCAACCGGACCACAACATACTCCTAAGTGTCTAAGTGTTCTTCGAGTTTGCACACGATAAATGAAAACTCCCAAGTACAACAATCTGCCGTGAGTCTCTGTGTACAAGTAAAGCCTTACAGGGTTGCACACTCAAGAGTCCTCAATGCGAGAATAGAACTCCATCAGCTTCTCATTGGCTCCTTGTGCCGCATCCCGCAGGTTCTGCAGCTTATTGCCACGATCATCCTCCAAATCAGAAGTGATCCTCAGCTATGCTAGCAAAGTGATTGGCTACCACACACCCACTGCCTGCGGCCACTACGGAGTCAGTTGCATATCCCCTTGAAAACGTGCGCTTGTATATCAAGTCTGGGGCTTGGTTAGTTAGAGCACAAAGCTTATTGAAATTCACTGCCGGGAACCAAAAGCTCACGTTTTGTACTGTAACTCATGCTCGCTATTTGGGATTATGAGACTCCCTTGGATTGACCTATTGTGACAGCGGTCTATACTCCGTAGGTCCTCTCCAAATGCCCTGAATCTCAGATGAAAGGCCACCAAGTCATGGTCCAATAGACTTGCAGGAGTGGCCGCACTTGGCTCTCTGCCTGTCAGCTTGAGGGCAAAAATGGTCTCATTTGGTGACATGATCTTCATGCAGTTTCCAGAAGCTCCGTCCAAATTGGTGAAGCAAACCCCATGCTTGGACGGTCCTTTGGCTAAACATTACGTAGCGATGATATGACATGGTTAGCCTGCAAATGGTCCGAATTGATTTGATCTTTTTGAACACCTCCCGCCTTTCCACTGGTGTTTGGAAGAAAGTTGTGGCGATAGACTTCCATCCGCTGCCATTGTGAGTGCTGCAGAGTGGAAACTCTGCAGCAGGTGGAGGAGTATCTCCCTGAGCCCACAGAGAGTGATGGAAACTTTGGAGGGAAAGAAAGGTTCTGTACAAACACCTACCAGGACTAGAAAAATGAACTATCGGAAGTATTCGGAAGTTAAGTTTCCCTAAAATTCTAGGAACCAATTAGTGCGAGCGTGGGCTATCCTGCGTCCTGGCTAGGAGCTTCCTATTGCTAGTAGCTTGCTCCCTTACTTGATTAAGTAGGCGCCATTATTAAGCAAGGGCAGGGCTTTTTCTGCCAAGCTTTTGAGTTGAATGAGTTGAATGGTCAAAGCCAAAGCCCTGGTCACGGAGATGCTGCCAAAGATCCCCAGAAGGGCTGATCACAAGTCTTCGCCTTGATGGAACACTTGTCGATGGGCTGGAGGTATCGAACGCCATCACGCTTCAGCCTGTGTGTCCAAATCGGACCACAACTGTCATCCAATCTCGACCATGAGTGCCTATGATGGCATCGCTACTAGGAGCAAGGACGCAATCTCGACCATGAGTGCCTATGATGGCCATG